ATCTGTATGTGTCCATTTCAAGAATCTGAACGGACAAAAAGTTAGATCAATGTACCCATTTCTGGCATACTGACAAAACAGCATCCTTACTGAAAAGGAAACTTACAGCTACAATCTTTGAGCAATCCACATATTAGGGCAACCATCATATCAAGAGCATGGTAAGCACATGCATTACTGGAAAAATGCAACACAAAGACAAGAAAATTGGATACTGACATCATAGAAAATATATGATGCTTATTGATCACAATCTTCTTACAAATTTTGGCATGAAAGAGACCAAACCAACCAAGTAGTAGCACACTGGAAAACTGAAAATACTCAACCAGTCATAGCATAACTAAAATTTCAATATAATTATTGATTTTAGACTTTTTAAAATGTACTCTCTGTAAAAGAAAAGAAATATAATCAAATGTCAAAGCAAACACCAACTAGCCCTTACGCTAAACCTGCATACTGGCCCCAGGAAGAACCATAGATCAATCAGATATACAGCATAATCCTAACAACTTGAGATCTGTCCTCCTAAACTGAAAATTTTTTGTTCTGCTGGTATATGGTTTCTACCATAATCAGATATTGGAAAACCCACATCCTTTTCTTGTTTACACAGGGAACAATAGATGAACACGTATTCTTTCTTCCACATATGATTACCAACAAAATTTGATTGAAAGTGGCTAGAAAGAGAGTTCAATCTAGGAAGAAAAGACTCTTTGATGAACATGGAAAGCCCTTGAACATTCCTCTATTATAATGTCTCACTCAAAGTCCAGACAAGCTATCAGTATCTAACTCCCCTCACTAAAAATTCACCAAAGTTTTTTTGCGTGGGAAACTGCCAGGGAGTGCATTTTAACTGTTGATATGCTTAGAAGGAGGGGGAATATTCTGATTAATAGATGCTTCTTGTGCAAAAAAGAGGAGGAGACTTGTAATCATATCTTGCTGTGGTGCCCTGCTGCCTATGACATTTGATCTATGGTTTACAAATTATTGGGTTTAAACTGGGTTGTGGCTGAGAGTGTGAGGGAGGAGTTGTGGGCTTGGGATGGGGTGTGTAAAAAGAAGAAATTGTTACGGTTAATTCCATTTTCTATTTTCTGGGTGGTTTGAAAGGAAAGAAACTTGAGAGCTTTTGAGGTATTGAGAAATATTTTGCTGCT